CAAGATGGGCTGTGATGGTCTCGACAGTAAACTCACTGCCAAGTCTCACATGTGAACAATGATCATTTGGCTGGGGTAACAGAGGGCAACTGTGCCTGTGGAACCTCACCAACATGAAAACACCATGATGGAACTGGCCATTTCCTGATCACAAGCTTTGCTCACGTTTCACTCCTTTGTTTTTAATGCTCACTCTGCAGAAACTGACTGAGCTCACACACAGTGGGCGAGGAGACAAAGCTCTAAACTTCTTCTGAACATGGCGCTGGGGAAAGGTTCGCGAGCCCAAAGAGTGATGTGGGAATCCTTTGTTGAAATAAGGTACACTTTGCCCAAACTGAACAAAATAATGACTGAAATACAGGAGCAAGGTACAATATACATTTGCATTGAATCCATTCCCAAATCAATTACATATTTTACTGAGCAACCTAGATAACTAATTCACTATAACTAATGGAATGTCCTCGATACCAACAGGTGCCAGTCTATTAAACCAGGTGATTATTGACCAAAGTGTACCAGATGTACCAGCACACTTAAAGGTATGTGACCGTTTTAAGGTGTAACCAATGGATTCATTTCTGAAATGCAGAGTTTGAATGTTTGCATTTTCTGTGAGATTTACAGGAACTACAAATAATCTGGCAGTTAAATGGGAGGGCATCAGTTGATTATATTGATCTCCTCCTGGTCGCCCTCTCCAGCTTTACCACATACAAGTTTGCAACTCATCCAAATCCAGCTGCTCCCAACCCTACATGCATTAAGATTCACATGACCATTATCTTCATCCACAACAAAATTCACATTCATCCTAACTACGGCGGATTGGCTTGAATGCTCAGTCTCCCCTTTATATCCTGATTCTTCTTATTCTTTTCTACATCTGTGACTTTCTCCAATCTCCTTCTTCTGCGCAACTCCACCGTTCCAGAATCTGTAATTTCACTTTATTAAAAGCTCTTCTGAAGTCTATCTATGTGTCTGCGCCTCCACACACTGACAGCAACTTCCTAACAGGAAACTCACACATGTTGAGAAGCTGTCGAAAGGCAGACATTCTTGGTGCTTCTAACCCCAATGTGATTCTCTAATTGAAGATGCTCAGCGAAAGCACAAGGAGATGTTACTAAAACAAAGTGAGATACTGGTAGTGAAGACTATCCTGATAAAGGAGAAGGTGAAGCAGTTTCAGTTGGTTGATCGCTACACGGAGCTGACAATTATTTCTGATGTACGTGACCGGGAACTGGTAGAACATGAGCTGCTGGCGAGAGGCAGAGACCACGAGGAGTGGAGACAGAAGCAACTCCGGGGAGAGCTGGAAAAAATCCGAATTGATAAACTGTTCCACAGCAGCTTCTCCAGAGGAAGTTTCTTTTACCGGATGAAAAAATTCTACAAGAGAAGCGGATCTGGCACTTTCACAGGGAATTCCGCAGTAGTGAGTGGAGTGGCGGGGATTGGAAAAACAACCATGGTGCAAAAGATTGTCCATGACTGGGCCACAGGCAAAATCTATCCTCACTTCCACTTTGTTTTATTTTTAAATTCCGAGACCTAAACAAAGTTCATGACAGAGCAACACTGAGCTGCCTGATCGTGGAGCAGTATCCTTACCTCAGGGATGTTCTGGATGAGCTGTGGAAACACCCAGAGACATTGCTCTTTATATTTGATGGTTTGGATGAATTCAGGGGAAGTATTGATTTCGCTGACAATCGGAGAGACACAGAGCCTCAGCGCAGGTGCACAGACCCTGAATTCTGCTGTAAACTTTCTGACATTGTGTACAGTTTAATACAGAAAAAGCTGCTGCCAGGCTGCTCAGTGCTGGTGACCAGCCGCCCCACTGCATTACAGTTACTGGCAAAGGCTCAGGTCAGTGTCTGGGCTGAAATCCTGGGATTTGTGGGGAAGAGAGAAAGGAATATTTTCACAAGTTCTTTGAGGATCAGGAGGTGGCGGCTGCTGTTTACAGCCACGTGGAGGAGAACGAGCTCCTGTTCACCATGTGCTACAACCCGTCCTACTGCTGGATCCTCGCTCTGTCTCTGGGTCCCTTCTTTACACGGAAACACAGCAACAAACAGCGAGTTCCCAAGACAGTCACACAACTCTTCTCCTATTATATTTACATACTAACACATCACAGTGTCAAGATGGAAAGCCCCCGTGATGTGATGCTGAAGATTGGTGAGATGGCCTTCACTGGAGTCTCCCAGAGAAACATTGTCTTTAATGAGGAAGATCTGATCAAATATAACCTCCAGCCTTCCCAGTTCCTCTCTGGCTTTCTCATGGAACTTGTGGAGAGAGAGTCTTCAGAGCACAGTGTGGTCTACACATTCCCGCACCTCACCATCCAGGAGTTTGTAGCCGCACTCGCTCAGTTCCTGTCTCCTCAATCCAAACGCACCATGCGGTGTTTGATCCGCAGTGACATGGAGGAGGACGGCCGGTTTGAGATATTTCTGCGCTTTGTTGCGGGGCTCTCCTCCCCACGGGCAGCTCAGCCGCTGGAGGAGTTTCTGGGGCCATTTGTCCATCAGACAACCTGTGCGGTGATCGATTGGCTGAAGGAGAAGTTTAAAGCTCAGATTAAAGACACAGACACCGTCACTGGGAAAGGGAAGTTGCTGAACTCACTCACTACCTGTTTGAGTCTCAGAATCAAGCCCTGGCACAGCAAACACTGGGCTCTCTACGAACACTGGCATTTGGTGACAGCTCTCCACAGAAAGCATTGAGACTGACACCGATAGACTGTGTTGTGGTGTCTCAGGCCATTGGACTTTGTGACACAATGAAACAACTGAATCTGAAGAACTGCTACATTCAGGAGGAGGGTCTCCAGCGTCTGGTTCCTGCTCTGCACAAGTGTGAGGAATTGTGGTAAGTTTACTCTATTTGTAAATCTTATTCATATTATTCTTATTTCAAAGCCATTCTCCAGGACTTTAATGTCATCAAACACCAGCTGATCAATGGAAGAATGGTATCATACAGTAGGAGGGAACAGTGGGTGACAATTTGATGGCCGTCACACACAACAGTCCTGCCCTGGGTAATTGGGAGGTGAATGGCTGACATTCCACTGCACACTTGGCTGCTCCACACCCTGAGCCCTTGGGTGACATTGCCAGATTCCTGATGCTATTGGGATTGTTTCCTAACTCCGGACTGGAATACTCACTTTATTGATCAAATTGTAACTTGATCCCAGGTCAGACAGACCAGAGCTTATGCTCAGAGATGTCACTCAGTGGTTCCTGTTTATTCATACAGGAGATGGTTCTCCTGACCACAGAGTCTCTGACACACAGAAACCCTTCTAACCTCCAACGTTCTGAGCTTCCCACAAGCTCAGGACCCTAGAGCTCACTCTGCTGGACCGTGTGATTAGGCCGGAGGATTCCTGTTTCCTCACCTACCGGCGGCAGGACCTCCCCCAGCGCTGCATTCCAGGGCAAAGGGATCTCCCGATGGCTTGGCCATCCCATTTATCCAGGGGCAGACACACCCTCTCTCCAGTACAATATTATAAAACTGATACAATATAATTCACCACAAACAAATCTCCCTCAGCCTGATATCAGTTTGACCGGTGTGGGCTCCCTGGCCCTGGTGAAGAGTCTCCATTTCCAGCTCCTGAGACCTCCCGGCCACAGACATTCTCTTTCCGAGGTCTGGGGCTCACAGTGTTTGGAGAATGAGAGAATAGAGAGATAACCACTGCCCAGAACCTGGAGATTACAGTCCGTGATGGCAGAAGTCAAGACATTAACCTCACTCACATACTACCTAAGGGTTACAGTACTGCTGGAATAACCCAGCGTAAACTGTGCTGCTCCCAGGACCAGGCATTGCGGAGAATCCACTCCATTAAGTCCCAACAACCCAGCATGTTAAGATGTATTGCCAAGTTAAGGGCTGTGAGAAATACAAGGTTTATTATTAGGATTATTATTATTTTTCTGATCAGATTCTATCATTCATATCGGCTCCACTTTGTGTCCACAAATGGCTTGTTCCCCAGTCCCCGCACCGTCTCGTGTGTTGTTCCTCAGGGCTTTGCACTCGGTCCCCATCCTCTTCAACCTGTATATTCTCCCACTTGGTGACATCATCTGCAGACATGGGTTGAAGGTCCACATATATGAGGATGACACACAACTCTACATATCTGCCTCCACCCTCGAACCCCACGACCACTGCTGTAATGACACAATGTCTGTCAGACATCAAGTCCTGGATCAGAACGACCTTTCTACAGTTGAATGTCAGCAAGACTGAGGTTCTGCTGCTTGGCTCACACCAGCACCTCCGCAACTCAGGCACTGAGCATCAGCATCTACGGATGCCCACTCCACCTCACCAAGCCAGTCAGGAACCTGGGTGCCTTTCAACTGTCCTTTCTCCCCCATATCTGTGCCATGACCCGCTCTGCCTTCCCCCACTTCTGTAACATTGCCATCTCCACCACTGCCTCACTCCTCAGGCTGCCGATACCCTGACACATGCCTACATTACATTCTGGCTCAACTATGCCAATTCCCTGCTTGTCAGCCTTCCCAAATCTTCCCTCCACAAGCTGCATAACATCCAGTTCTCTGCAGTTCATGTCATCTCCAGCACCAGATTCCTTGACCCCATCTACCCCAGCCTCACCCGGCTCCTCTGACTTCCCATCCCTCAGTAGATAGAACTCAAAATCCTCCTCACTTTCCAGGCCCTCCACGGCCTTGCCCCCTCCTAACCTTCTGTCCTGCTTACCCCATTCAGTAGCCTGCGGCCTCCTCCACATCTCCTACTCAACTCATCCTGCCATCGGCAGCCGAGCTTTCAGCTTCTCTGCCCCCGCCCTTTGTAACTCTATCCCACAATCCCTTGGCCTCGCTCCCTCCCTTCACGAGTCGCGGTTCCTCATGGCCTGAACAGCCGCCCATAATATCAGCTGGTCCCACTGCACTGTCCTCACACCCAGGTCACTTACACCGTTATAACGGGCTCTGAGTACCGGCCGTGGGGAAAGCGGGTAAACTGGGCCCTGGGACTGTGAAGCCCGAGGACTTGCAGAGCACAAGACAGCTATGGGGGGTTTTGTTCTACTGGGGGAGAGGCAGTTACCCCTTTCAGGTGTCACACTCTCCCTCTCAGTTCTCTCTCTCTCTGTCTCTCGCTCTGTCTTTCTCTCACTCAGTCTCTCTCTCTCCCCGTCCCTTTCATTCAGTCTATCTCTCTATCTCTCTCTCAGTCTCAGTCTCTCGCTCTGTTTATCTTATTCTGTCTTCATGTCTTCTCTAGCTCTCTGTCAGTCTCAGGCTCTCCCGTAAAACACAGTTACACATTATAACATATTCTCTCACACAATCTCCCTCTCTATCTCCATCTCTATCTTCTGTCTCTATCACACTCTCTCTGAAACTCCCCCTCTCTCTCTCTCTGTCTCTCTCTCAGACTCTCTTTCTCAGTTTATCTCTGCAGTCTCTCTCTCTCTATCTCCCATCCAGTATCTCTCTCTCTCTTTCTGTGTCTCTTTATCTCATCCTCCCTCTGTCTTTCCCGCAAAACACACATGTCTCTCCGTCTCTCGCTATCTCACTTATTCTAATAATAATAATTCTTGCATTTGATATAGCGCGTTTTACGTCTTCTCGACTCTCAAAGCGCTTCACAGAATTTGCTGTAAAGTGAATTGACCGTATATTTGTGAGCGAAAGGCAGAAGCGATTTGCGCACAACAGCGTCCCACAAACAGTCGTTGATTGAAAATGATCCATTTTTTATTGTTTTGTTTTGGAGGGATTATTATTAGGCTCTGTGTGGAGTAATGAAACTTGCCCAAAGTTTCGCCCTCTCTGGAATTGAACGCAAGTGTCTCGCTTGCAAGGGAGTGCTCTAACCCCTGAGCTACAGGACTCCACTATCACTGTTCTCTCTATCGCTCACAATCACGATCTTAAAGTATCTCTAACTCAATCTCAATCTCTTTCTCGGTCTCTTGCTCTCTATCTCTTTCTCAGTCTCTCTCTCTGTCGCTCTCTCTCCCACCATTAGTCTCCCTCTGTGTCTCACCTACAAACTGCACAGTCTATACAATATACAATATATTCTCTCTCACGGTTTCCCTCTCTCAGTCGCTCTCTCTCTCTTTCTGTCTATCAGTCTCTCTCAGGCTCCCTCTCTATCTCTCTCAGTGTCTCTCTCGCTTTCTGCTTCTTCCGAAAAACACACGGTTACTGCAATTTATAATATATTTTCTCCCCTTCTCTCTCTCTCTCTCTCTCTCTCTCCTCCCTCTCTCTCTCTCTCTCTCAGTCTCTCTGTCTATGCCGAAAACACAGCCACTATATTTTATAAAATATTCTCTCTCAGTCTCTCTCTCTCAGTCTCTCTTTCTCTCAGTCTCTCTCGTTGTCCGTTTCTCTATCTCTCTCATAGTTTCTCTCTCGCTGTCTCACTCTACCACAAAACACACAGTCGCTGTACTTTAAAATATATTTTCTCTTTCAGTCTCTCTCAGTATATCTCTCAATCTCACTCAGTCTCTCTTTCTGTCACTCTCTTCGTCTCTTTCTCACTCTCTCTCCCTTCCAGTGACTATCTCTCTCTCCAAGTCTCTCACACTTTCTCTCATTGTATCATTTTCCCATATTCTTGCTTTTTCTCTCCCCGAAAACACATTCGCTACAATTTGTAATACATTATCTCTCACATTCTCCCTCTCTCTCGCTTGCTCTCTCTCTGTCTCTTTCAGTCTCTATTTCTTTCACTCTGTCAGTCTATTTCCCTCAGTGTCTCTCTGTTTCTTCCACAAAACACAGTAACTACACGTTATGTATTTTCGCTCAGTCTCTCAGTTTCTTTCTCTCTTGCAGTCATCCTTTCACAGAGCTCTCTCTGTCTCTCTCAGTCACTCTTTCTGTCTCTCTCTCTCATTCTACCTCTTTCTCATATTTTTGCTCTGTCTCTCACCCAAAACACACAGCAAATACACGTTATAATATTTTCTCTCACATTCTCTCTGGCTCTCTTGCTCTCTCTCAGTTCCTCGTTCATTCTCTTTCTATCATGTGCATCGTGTATCATTTTTAGTTATTGTGTGTTTTGTGGGAGAGAGCGAGTTGGAGAAAGAATAACTGCAATATAGAGAGAAAAAGAGTCAGAGAGAGCGACTGAGAGGGAGACTATACTATAACGTGTAGTGACTGTTTCGTGGAAGAGACTGAAGAGAGAGTGAGACTGAGAGACACAGAGAGAGAGATTGAGAAAGTGACTGGTAGAGAAAGACTGATAGAGAAAATGAGACTAATCGAGATAGACTGAGAAATCGAAGGTGAGAGACAGAGTGAATAAATAAAAGTGAGAGATTCAGAAAAGAGGGACTGAGAGAGAGAGACCTCGAGACAGTGAAAGAGAGACAGAAAGATAGACAGAGAGAGTTTGTGTGTGAGAGAGAGAGAGAGAGAGAGAGAGAGATAGGAGAGAGACGAGGGCAGAATAACTGAGATATTTAGAGAAAAAGTGACATAGAGAGAGAGACTGGTTAGGAGAACATATTATAATATAAAGTGTAGTTACTGTTTTGTGTAAGAGACTGAGCGAGAGTGACAGAGAGAGCGAGACTGAGAGCGAGACTATGACAGAGAATATATTATAAAATGACTGTTTTGTGGGAGAGTCACAGAGAGAGACTGAGAGTGAGAGACACAGAAAGGGACTATATGAGAACATGTATTATACTGTGTAGTGACTGTGTGTTTTGTGGGAGAGACAGTAAGAGAGAGAGATTGAGAGAGACAGAGAGGAAGACTAAGAGAGAGAGGAAGGAGATGAGAGAGAGACTGAGAGGGAGAATGCATTATAAAATGTACTGAATATATTTTGCGGACGTGACTTCAGTCTCTATTTCTCTTGTGAGAGACAGTGAGACTGATAGAGACAGTGGGCCAAGATATGTTTTAAAGTAAAGTGACTGTGTGTTTTGTGGTAGAGACTGAGAGACAGAAACTGCAATAGTGATAGAGGAGAATGAAAGAGTGACTGAAAGAGAAAGTGCGAGACACAGTGTGAGAGAGACTGAGAGAGAGAGACTGCGAGAAATTGTGATAGAAAACAGAAAGAGAGAGAATCAGATAGAATATATTATGAAGGGAAGTGACCACGTATTTTTGTGGGAGAGACACAGAGAGACACAGAGCGAGTGAGAGGGATAGAATGAGAGACAGTGAAAGAGCACATATTATAAAGTTTAGTGACTGTTTTGTGGGAGAGACAGAGAGAGACTCAGAGAGAGAGAGACTGAGAGACAGACTGGGAAAAAGACTGAGGGACAAAGAGAGAGAGAGTGACTGAGAGAGACTGTGAGAGAGACTGAGATACAGAGAAAGAGAGAGAGAAAGAGTGAGAGAGACAGAGAGAGAGAGACTAGACTGTGTGGGCTCATGCGTTGGTGTGTCTGATACTGGTGCCAGCGCCTTGGGACTTGCCTCCCACGTGAAAGGCTCCTGTATATACATGTCAATGTGTATTGTGTTGTTACACTATATTCCCTGTGTTTGTGTCTCTGTGTCCAGGCTGAAGGGCAATAATCTGGGAGATTGTGGAGTGAAGCGACTGTGTGAGGCTCTGAGGAACCCGGACTGCAAAATACAGAGACTGTGGTAAGTAACGCACTGTGTCTCCAGAGTCTGAATGACTCCAATATCTCAATATGTTTATTGTGACTGTCTGATCATTGCGGTTGAATATTGTGACAGGACTCAGTGTGACAGTGTGAGGCCACAAGCCATCGTTTACATCAAACTCTCAACATATATTAATGTGCGTGTCTGTATGAGTGTGTGTCTGTGTGTGTGTGTGCGTGTATCTGTGTGTGCGTGTATCTGTGTGATTGTATGTGTCTGTGTGTGTGCTCTCTGACCGAGCCTTCAGCTCCCCTCTCGACTCTCTTCCAACTCCTCGCTCCCTCCGTTCCCTCCCCTCACCCTGACCATTTACCCCTTCCTCGCTCCCTCCCTTCCCTGCCCTCACCCTGACCATTTCCCCCCTCCTCGCTCCCTCCCTTCCCTCCCCTCACCCTGACCATTTCCCACCTCCTCGCTCCCTCCCTTCCCTCCCCTCACCCTGACCATTTCTCCACTGCTCGGGTCATGACCCAACTGTGCAGCGCCTTGGGACGTCCTCCTGATGTGAAAGGCGCTTTATAAATGGAATCTTGTTGTTGTTGTATGCGTATCTGTGCGTGTTTGTTGTTAGAAGCGTTTGCAGCTATCTTGAACAATCTGACAATGATCCGGTACCAGTTTACCAATTGGTTGAGGTCAGTCACTACATTCAGGTCAAAATAGCAGGTAATACACAAATAAATGAAACAATAAAATAATACACAAGACACAAAACGTTACGGACCGGATTGCTGTCACAGCACTGGTTGTGTCTCGCACCGCTCCGCAACCGTTCCCGAGAGATATCTAACACACCTTTGTTTAAAGGCAACTTAATAACTCCAGACAAAACTGTCTTTTTTAAGAAAAATAACTCCATATATGGTTATATCCATAATATGTTTCAGTTCTCCTTTAACCACATTTTATTCTCTCCTGATCAACCCCTCCGTCCAGTGTGTAAGTGTGAACAGACTTTCCGTGTCCTTGTACGTCCTGACCTTATGTTGTCATTGTTTTGGGTTCTGCTCTCAGTTACTGAGCTTTGCCGCCTTTGCATTTCTATTTTATATTCTTAAACCACACTTTAGCATTAACGCAAGAGAAAACAGTGTGTGTATGTATGTCCATGTATATGTGTGTGTGCGTGTCATTGTGTATGTCTGTGTATGTGTCTGTGTGTTTGTTCGTGTGTGTCTTGTATGGGTGTCTGTTTGAGTGTCTGCGTTTATGTGTGCGTGTGTCTGTATATGAGCGTCTGTGTGTTCTTCTGAGTGTGAGTTTGTAACTCTGCGTGTGATTGTATTTTTATGTATGCGTGTTTCTTTGAGTTTTGTTTGCGTTCCATTGCATGTGTGTTTATGTGCTTGTTTGTGTGTTTCTGTGTATGTATTTGTGTGCGTCTGTTTGTTTGTGTGTACGTTTCTGTAAATGTGTGTCGTTGTGTTCGTTTGAGCGTTTGTGAGTGTCTGTGTGTGGGTGTCACACGCAGACACTCACAAACGACCCTCGCCCTCGCCCGACCCCATCACTTCCACCCTCGCACGAACCCATCACTCCCCCACTTGCCCGACGCCATCACTTCCATTCTCGCCTGACCCGATCACTCACACCGTCGCGCGACACCATCACTCACACCCTCGTCCGACTACAGTACTTCCTCCCTCGCCCGACCCCATCATTCCCAACCCTCGCCCGACCCCATCACTCCCACCCTCGCCCGTCCCCATCACTTCCACCCTCGCCCGACCCCATCACTCCCACCGGACCACATCATTCCCAACCTCGCCCGATCCCATCACTGCCACACTCGCCGAACTCATCACTCCCGTGCTCGCCCGATTCCATCACTCCCACCCGACCACATCACTCCCACCCTCGCCCGATTCCATCCCTCCCATACTCGCCGACCCCATCATTCCCATCCTCGTCCGACCCCATCACTCCCACACTCGCCCGACCTATCACTCCCACCCTCGCCCGACCCCATCTCTCCCACCCTCGCCCGACCCCATCACTCCTACCCTCGCCCAACACCATCACTCCCACCCTCGCCCAACCACATAACTCCCACCCTCGTACCCCATCCCTCCTAGCGTTGCCCGACCCCATCATTCCCCACTCTCTTCCGACACGAGCACTCCTACCCTCGCCCGAACCCATCACTCCCACCCTCGCCCGACACGACCATCTCTGACCTGCTGTCTCCCTACCAACCTGCCCGCTCCCTCCGGCCAGTGGGCTCCGGGCTGCTCCATATCTCTCGCTCGCCCCGCCCTCCCATCGGTGTCCGGGCTTTCAGCCTCTCTGCCCACACACTCTGGAACTCCATCCCACGGTCCCTTCCCCTCACTTCCTCTCTTGTCTCCTTCAAGGTCGGTCTCAAGACCCTTCTCTTCCATCGTGGCTTTGGTCTCCCTCCCACCTCTCTGCCTTCCCTCACTCCTACCACACCCCTCCCCCACCCTTCACCCCTCCCCCACCCCCACCCCTTCCCCAATCCTCCCCCATGCTTGGGCCCCGACACCTGATTGTTCAGCGCTTTGGGACGTCCTCCCGATTTGAAAGGCTCTCTGTAAATGTCATTTTGTGATCGTGTGATCGTGTGATCGTGGAGTCCTGTGGCTCAGTGGTTAGAGCACTTGCTTTGCAAGCAAGACACCTGGGTTCAATTCCAGGCAGGGCGAAACCTTGGGCAAGTTTCCTTACTCCACACGCCTAATAATAATCCCTCCAAAACCCCAAACAATAATAAATTGATCATTTTCAATCTACGACTGTTTGTGGGACATTGCTGTGCGCAATTGGCTGCCGCGTTCGCCCACAAATATACAGTCAATTCACTTTACAGTATATTCTGTGAAGCGCTTTGGGACGTCCTCCCGACGTGAAAAGCGCTATATCAAATGCAAGGATTATTATATTATTATTATTATTTTGTTGTTGTTATTGTTGTGCATTTGTGTGTGTGTATATTTGCGTGTGTTTTTTTTTGTGTGTATCTGTGTATGTGTATTTATGTGTGTGTGTGTTTGTATTTGATTTTGTGTTTCTGTGTATGTTTGTGTGTTTTTGAGTTTGTGTCTGTGTGTCTTTATGTATGTTTCTATGCGAGTTTGTGTGTTTTTGTGTGTGTGATTGTGTTTGTTTGTGTGTCTGTGTTTTTGAGCTTGTTTTTGTGAATGCTTGTGTGTTTTTGTGTGTGATTGTGTTTATGTTTATGTATGTTTGTGTATGTGTGTATGTGTGTTTGTTTGTGTGCTTATGTGCTTTTTACTGTGGGTGTGCGTTTATGTGTGTGTGTTTGCGTGTGCTTGTGTGTGCTTTTGTGTGTGTTTGTGTGAGTGTTTGCGTGTATATTTCTGTGTGCGTGCGTGCATATGTGTTTGTATGGGTTAGTGTGTGAGTGATTGTTTGTTTCTGTACGTGTGTGTTTGTGTGAGTGCTTTTGAGTTTATGTTTGTATGTTTGTGTGCATGTGTGTGGATGTGTATTTTTGTGTTTGTGTTTCTGTGTGTATGTGTGTCTGTGTGTGTGGCTATGGTGTCTGTGTGTTTGTGTCTCCGTGTGTGTGTATTTGCCTGTGGGTCATGTGTTTCTTTGTGTGTGTGTGTATTATATGTGTGTGATTTTCTTTATGTTTGTGTGTGTGCTTGTGTGAGTTTTTGCGCGTGTTTGTTTGCGTGAGTGTATTTGCATATTTTTGTGTGTGTGTATTTGTCTGTGGGTCATGTGTTTGTTTGTGTGCGTGTATATGTATTTATGTGTGTATTGCTGTGTGTGTGTCTGTCTGTGTGTATATGTGTCTGTGGGTCAGGTGTTTATGTGTGTTTATGTGTATTTATGTGTGTGTGTTTCTGTGTATGTGTGTCTCTCTGTGTGTTTGTGTGCATGTCCGTGTGTGTGTATTTGTCTGTGGGTCATGTGTTTGTTTTTGTGTGTGTGTATTTGTATTTATGTGTTTGTGTTTAATTTTGTTTATGTTTGTCTTTGTGCTTGTGTGCGTGTTTGCGCGTGTGTGTTTGCATGTGTGCGATTTTGCGTCAGTTTATGAGTGTTTTTGTGAGTGTTTCTGTGTGTTTCAGTGTGTGTGTTTGTGGGTGCGTATATTTGTGTATTTTTGTTTGTGTGTATTTGTTTGCGTGTTTATGTGTATGTGAATTTTTATTTGATTTTGTGTTTCTGTGTCCATTTGAGTGTTTTTGAGTGTGTGCATGTGTCTTTGTGTGAGTTTCTATGTATGTTTGTATGACTTTGCGTGTGTTTGTTTGTCTCTGCATATGTGTGCGTGTTTGTGAGTTTGTTTTCAAGCATGTTTATTGGTTTGTGTGTTTCTGTGTGTGTATTTCTGTGTGTGATTGTGCGTATGTCTATGTTTGTTTGTGTGTGTAAGCTTGTCTACGTTTTTTCTCTGTATGTGTACGTGCGTGTATTTGCGTGTGTTTGTGTGTGCGTGTGCGTTTGTGTGAGTGTTTGTGTGTGTTTCTCTTTGTTTTGGGGATTGTGTGCGTTTGTGTGTCTGTGTTTGTTTGTGGGTGTGTTTGTGCAAGCTTGTTTGTGTTTCTGTGTGTGCTTGTATGTGAGTTTGTGTCTGTGTGTGTAATTGTCTGTGTTTCTGCGTTTGTGTGAGTGTGTTTGTGTGTTTGTTTGTGTGCATGTATGGCTATGTATTTCTGTATGTGTATTTCTGTGTGTGTGTGTGGATTTCTGTTTGTGTCTGTGCGCGTTTGTGTGTGATTGTATGTGTGTGTTTGTTTGTGTGTGTTTATGTGCCTATGCGTTTCTGCTTTTGTGTGTATGTGTGCGTGAGGGTGGTGCGGGTATTTGTGTGTATGTTTGTGTATGTGTTCATGTGTTTATATGTGTGTTTGTGTGTATGTACGTGAATGTGTAAGTACATGTGTGTTTGTTTGTATGTGTATCTATGTTTATGTCTGTGCATATGTATGTATGAGTGCGTTTGTTTGTTTTTGTATGCGTGTCTCTTTGTGGTGTTTGTGTTTGTACCCCTGCAACCTGTTCGGCCCAGACCTGCATGATGTTAGGGCTTCCTCGCTAACCCTGAGAGGTTTATCTCACACAGGTCAATGATTCCATCCATATACTCAACTGGCTTCAGTTCACGGACGCAAACATTTTTGTGGAAAAATCATTACCTGAGGTAGTTTTCTGTTGGTAAATTTACAGCCAAAACGTCTGTGCAAGATCCTCACCCAGAATAAAGTCTACCCAGCTTTAGCCCTGAGTTAGCCTGTTTCTGCTCACACTGCAGTCTGAGCCCTGTAGCTCAGTAGTTAGAGCCCTCGCCTCGCTAGCGAGAGGGCCTGGGGGTGATTCCTGACAGAGCAAAACCTTACGGATGTTTCCTTACTCCATCGTGTTTGTTTGCCTCCCAGTCAGTCAAATTCCGCTTGTTAGACGATATGCATATCGTATTTCCAGGGATAATAGACCCTTCAAATAAATATTTAACACGAAAAATATACAATCAATTCCGTTTACAGTACATCCTGTGAAGAGCTTTTAGGCGTCTCCAAGACATGATGAGGCTCTGTATCAAATGCCAGGATTACTATTATATTATATATTATATCTGGATACCGGAAAACCCTCTGAGGCTCGTTGGGGTCAGGACTGTCTGAGCGTCGTTTCCATCTCTATGTCCGCTTGTGGCCTCTATCGCCTCTTCCTTCCGTGGGTGACGGCCTGTAGTGAGTGACAGTGGGTTACACACACTGCTTTTACGCTGATCCCTATCATGTCTCTGTGTCTCTGATCTCCAGGTTGGACAGTAACAGACTGACCGATGGCTGCACTGATGCTCTGGTCTCCGCTCTCAGTACAAAGCGCTCACTGAGGGACCTGGACCTGAGGTCCAACTCCTTCACAGACGGCTCTGTCCGCGCTCTCCGCCGCCTCATACAGACCTGCACCAGTCTGGAGGGGATCTGGTGAGTGTTTGTGTCAGTGTTTAATATGATAAACACACAGAGAAAGGGCGGTGTATCAGAATTGGAACAGTTTGAAGGAATTTATTTATTCATTAAACTGCGACATGAACAGTTTACAGTTTGTACCATTATCCCATGGGTTTATTTCATGTTTAATGTGTTTCAGGCTGTGGGCGAATAAGTTCAGTTCAGACGGACGGAATCAGCTGAAGTCACTGCAGGAAATCAGAGCTGAGCTGTCAGTGACAGTGTGACACTGACTGAGGCAGTGACTGTCCACACAGTCTGTGTAACATGGAATATATTCTGGACACTGTAGTGACTGATTATTAAAGATGTTGATCCTGATTCCTCTCCCATCTCTGCTCTGGGGACCGTTATTGACACACACCGCCTACGGCCGTGCGGGCGGCTGGAGAGCCCCGACCCTCAGTCACTGCTAAACTGCTATAAGCGAGCACAACTGGTGCACTTTCTTTCACAGTCTCTTTCTCTCTCTGTGTGTGTCAGTCCCTCTAAGTTTATATATTTCCGTCTTTCTATTTCAGGCTCTCTCTTTCGTTGCCTCTCTTAGTCTCCGTCTCTCTCTCTGTCTCTCTCTCTGTGCCTTAACCGTCAGTGTTTGTGTTTGAGATCCTGAGAGAGAGATCAGTCCGAGTGTTCGTGTGTGTGTGAGAAAGAGAGAGTTTGCAGACCGTGTGCGTGAGTGAGAAGGAGAGGGAACAGTCAGTGGGTTTGCGGGAGAGGGAGTGAGCTGTCAAAATGTGTGCCTGTGTCAGAGAATGAGAGCAGTCAGTAAGAGTGTGTGTGTGAGAGAGCAGTCAGTGAGTGTGTGTGAGAGAGCAGTCAGTGTTTGTGTGTGTGTGAGAGAGCAGTCAGTGTGTGTGTGTGTGAGAGAGAGAGCAGTCAATGTGTATGTGAGAGAGAGCAGTCAGTGTGTGTGTATGTGTGTGTGAGAGCAGTCAGTGTGTGTGTGTGAGAGCAGTCAGTGTATGTGTGTGAGAGAGCAGTCAGTGTGTGTGAGAGAGAGCACTGTGTGTGTGTGTGTGTGTGTGTGAGAGCAACAATCACAAGATTTATTTTATAGAGCGCCTTTCACGTCGGGAGGACGTCCCGAGGCGCTGTACAGTTGGGTCAGGAACCGAGCATTGGAGAAATGGTCAGGGTGAGTGGAGGGAGGGGGTGGGGCGAGGAGGGGGGAAACGGTCAGGGTGAGGGGAAGGAAGGGAGGGGGCGAAGAGGGGGGAAATGGTCAGGGTGAGGGAAGGGACGGAGCGAGGAGGAGGGCAATCGTCAGGGTGAGGGGAGGGAAGGGAGGAGTCGAGGAAGGGGGGGGAATGGTCAGGCGGAGGTGGATAGAGCGAGGAGTGCGGAAATGGTCTGGGTGAGTGGAGGGAAGGGAGAGGGCGAGGAGGGGGAGAGAGTCGATAGTGGAGCTGAAGTCACGGTCAACCCCAACTCCACTGGCTTCCCATTACACAGAGGAAACAGTTCAATATCCTGGTCCTCACTTTCAAAGCCCTCCATGGCTTGTTCCCCCCCCTACCTCTGTGACCTCCTAACCCCCGACCAACCTGTACGCTCCCTCCACTCAGTAGGCTCCAGGCTGCTTCACGTGCCCCACCCCATCAATGGCGGTTGGTCCTGCAACTTCTCTGCCCCCAACGTCTTGAACTCCATCCTACGATGCCTCCGCCTCAATCGTCCTCTCCTCACCTCCTTCAAGGTACATCTCAAGACACTCCTCTTCGAGCGACGGTGCTTTTGGTCACCCTCCTACCCCCACCTCTCAACCCTCCACTCCATCATGATCCCAACGCCCAGCTCGGTCCAAATCCCCGACTCTCTAGGTCTCTCTCTCTCTCTCAGTCTGTCTCTCTCAGTCCCTCTCTATCTGCCTCCACCCCTCGGAGCCAAATCCCTGACTGTGCAGTGCCTTGGTACGTCCTCCTGATGTGAAACTCAGGCGCATTAGAAAATGTTTGTTGTTGTTGTTGCGTTTTCTGAGCGAAACGCGACAGCCGATGGCGCCCAGCGACGCCCCCACAAACAGCCGGGGGTTGAGGTGACCTATTATTATTATTATTATTATTCTGAAGGGATTATTACCCCCGTAAAGTGATCTGATGATTCCATTTTGAAGATGGAGAAAGATGCTAAGATCCGGGTGATGTTGACCTGAGCTCCTCCCCCTCCACCCCCGCCCCCCGAGGGCTCAGCATTAAAACACACCTTTATAATAATAATAATCATAATAATAATAATAATCCTTGCATCTGATGTTGCGCTTTTCACGTCGGGAGGACGTCCTAAAGCGATTCACAGAACATGCTGGAAAGTGAAGTGACTGTATATTTGTGGGCGAACGCGGCAGCCAATTGCGCACAGCAATGTCCCACAACACTCTGGGAGGAGGGCGCCATACAAGTGCAAGTTGTTGCTGTCGTTGAATGCACATTTTGCGAAATGCCCGAAGTGGAGGGGATGAGCAGGAAAGAGGTGAAGTAATTACTAATTATGTGAGTCTGGACAGCTTAACAACACACAGGATGTGCACACATTTGTTGTGGACGTTCCCTTTAAACACGTCGCTATGTTCACTACATACATGTGCCACCGACTCACACACACACACACCGCCACAGCACACCGGCCGATCATGGCCGGTGGCCCGATGCGCAGCGCACACTCACACACATGTTCACACGTTAAACACCCGGAGACACGGCCACACAAACCGCTCACATCCACTCAACACACAACCAGTCCCGACCCTGTCCCCGCGGCCTCCGCGCCGGGTCCTGTTCCCTTTACCTACACTACAGGGAGCAGTGACACGGGTGGGATTGGTCCCGACCCCGTACCAATGTAATGTTGATGTTGTTGTGGTTGAGCCCTTACTCCACTCACTGCCGCTCCCCCCTTCATGGCCTGAGACTGACATACATTTTCTGGAACGTCGTTGGTTACACATCGACCTTCTCTCTTCGCAGTGCACGGCCACACACACATTTCACCGCCTCTGCACCACTGACAGTGATCACACACTGAATGGGGGGATTTGAAATTGCCGCCAAGTCCGGGCCGATGGGAATTGCTGTAACGCTGCAGTGCAAACACATGTCCAGCAGGAGGCGGTGCTGCACTGCAATCACTCCCTGTGTTCACAGTGCAACACCACCGCTTCCCGAATCATTGAAGGTTCAAGAAAATTCACTTAAAAAAAATTTGACTTTTCTGCAACGATTAACCTGCATTTATTTCGCCTCTTTCACGCGGGCTCTCGGCTCGGAGATGTTCCTCAGTCTTATGTTGCAACTGACGAACTCATTTTCGTTCTTGTTCATGTGTTTATGTGAATAAAGTGTTCTCCACTGAACCCCATGACATTGGTTTCACTCCTCATTCCCTCTCGGTCGGATTTGCAACACCTGATGCTGGAGGGAGGTGAGGCACAGGAGTACACTTCACTTCATCTCTCCTGATGGCTGTTATGTATTTGAGGAATATAATCATTCACCTTTCACCCCAAATAGTCCCACTCCACCGCTTTTAACACAACTGGAACACACGCCTTCGCTTTTACCCGAATTGGTTCTCACCCCCACCCAACTATCTACACTCTTCCGCTCTGTTCTAAACGAGTCCCACTTTCCCGCACGTAAACCAGAGCAATGCACACCTGTGCTTTTCAAGTCCCTATCGAATTCCCTTCTGAAAACTACTATAAAATCGAGGAGTCCTGGAGCTCAGTTGTTAGCGCACACGCTTTGCGAGCGAGAGGCCTGGGCTCGGTTCCCGGCGGTGTGAAATCTTGGGGAGTTTATTTACTCCACACACTTTGTAATAATTCCTCCAAACACAGACACAGACGGACACACACTCTCACTCTCTGTCAGTCTCTCTCACCCGCTCTCTCACAGTCTCTCTCTCCTCTTTCTCACACACACACAGACACCGAGTCGGGCTATCACACAGACACACACAGTGTTGGCCTCGCTCGGTGTCTGGGTTTGTGTGTGTGTGTGTCTGTGGGTTCAATGTGTGTGAGAGCGAGTGAGAGCGAATGTGGGAGAGAGGGTGAGAGACTGACAGTGAGAGTGTGTGTCAGTCTGTGTGTGTGTCTGTATTTGTGTGATAGACTGTCTCTGTGTGTGTGTCAGTCTCTGTGTGTGTGTGTCAGTCTCTGTGTGTGTGTGTCTCTGTGTGTGTGTGTGAATGTCTTAGTGTGTCTGTGTGTGTCCGTGTATGTGTATATCTGTTTGTGTGTGTGTGTGTGTGTGTTTCAGGCTCAGTGTGTGTGAGAGAGAGTGATAGAGAGTGTGTTTTTGTGTCTGTGTCTCTCTCTCTCTCTCTCTCTCTGTCACCGACACTGACCGTCGTCTCCGCCGCCATCACCACCTCCCGCGGTCCCGCCTCGCGCTCAGACAGACAGGCGCCGCGCCCCGAAACACCGTCAGCCCCGCGCCCGGAGACGGCACTGCGCAGGCGCCGAGTTCAAAAAAAAACCGTCGGCCTCGCGCGCGGACAGACAGCGACGGCACTGCGCAGGCGTCCAGTTCAAAAAAAAACCGTTCGCCTCGCGCTCAGGGACTCCACTGCGCAGGCGCTGAGTCAGAGAAAAAAAGAGGCGCCAAAGTCAGGCGACGAGAGACACAGAGAGAGAGAGACAACCGACCGACAGAGGCGACTGAACCCATCGACCGTTTAAACCTCACACTGAGGCCTCCCGACGCCAATGAATAACCCACACAAACAATTCTGTAATTTTTTACCCGAATGACAAAGGCGGATCCCGTCACTACAGTCATCCACGCACTTGATCCACAGAGAGCCCAGACATTGGGGCCTCACCCAAATATATTGCCCACAATACATACAGTGAGTTCACTTTACACTATATCCTGTGTTGCGCTTTAAGATGTGATGCGGCGCCATAACAAATGCAAATAGTATTAGTGTTATCTCTCAAATTACTAGTGTTTGCACTAACTGCTTCCGCTACAGGACTCCACCGATTATATCGCCGCCTTCAAATAAAACCCCCGGAAACCATAAGGGCACTAATGTTCAGCATTGGATATAAATGAATAGATGTGGACGCTTTGGATTAGAAAAGATTCCATTCTGATCCAACAGACATCAAATAGCCATCCAGCAACACCTCAACATTATACTGTTAAAACATGACAGAAGTTGTATCGGTTCAGATCATAGCATTTTATATGACTAATTTAATATCATAATAATAATAATTCTTGCATTTGGTACAGCGCCTTATCGCGTCTTCACAGAATATCCTTCAATGAATTGTCTATGTTCTCTGACACTGAGAGCCAAGCGCTGGAATGGCATTGAATCGCGGGTTTACTGCGGCTTTGAGGGTTCACATCAACATCAATGTGAAGGACAAATAACTCGAGGAGACAGTTCATGACCATCTC